CTCTCTCTCTCTCTCTCTCTCTCTCTCTCTCTCTCTCTCTCTCTCTCTCTCTCTCTCTCTCTCTCTCTCTCTCTCTCTCTCTCCGCGCTGTAAGGTGCACGGACAACCTCTCTCGCGCGCAATGGCGCACCTCTCTCTCTCTCTCTCGCGCGCGTGCGCGCGCGCGCGCGCACGCGTTCCAACCTGACGGGCAACTCGTTCGTCGCGTTGGAGCGTTAGTGCTCGCGCGGCAAATGAGCTGCGGCCGAACGCGCTTGCGCGTTAAGTACCTGTTCGGCCTGTTCCCCCTGCGCCAACCCCCAGGAGGCCGCCGCAGGCCGGTGCCCCACGTTTTTTTTTTTTTTCTTCGGAAAAAAAAAAATAAAAAAAAATGAATGCACGGGGTGGTACCCGACAATGAGTACTACCACCCTGCACCTTCACAAAAACCCCTCCCTCCCCCCCGACAGCGGGAAATAACGGTTCGCGGACCCCGTTCATTCGCGTCCAACGCGCATTTGAACGGGGATTGAACGTGAATTGAACGCGCGTTCAATTTTTTAACGCGGACCCCATGTTAAATCGAATTTCGGACACACAGCTGACGGGGGATGGCTGAACTGCACTCATGGGCTGAATGTGGGTGTTAAAACTGATCTCAATGTCCTCTATTGAGAGCGTTGTTTGATTTACATTGACCTTTGGAACAAATAAGAAGCGGTTGAATGACGATTGACCTTGATTGAGGTCTTCTGATAGCTTCTCCCGTGACTTGATGTTGTTGAATTGATAGGTCACGAAATACCGATTACTTAGCAGGGTACTGAATACTATTTACTTAGTAACACGACACAATACTCTTCACTTGATAGCCCGACACTAAGTACTGTTCCACTTGGTAGCACAACACTCGGTATTGTTCAATTGATAGCACGACATTGAGTAGTGTTCTACTTGCTAGCACGACACCGAGTATTGTTCAATTGATAGCAAGACACTGAGTAATAAAATGCAAAGAGTTGAGCGTTGCTTACTGATCGGCTATACTGACGAAGCCCTTGAGGAGAGAGGTCTGAGCACTCTTACACCCTCTCAGACTCCGTCCTGGTCTGTTAGATCGTCTCTAGGGACAAGTAGGTACTGTACAATTTTTTGTTAGGTCCATAGAACATGTTATTCGTTAAAACAATATATTATTGTGTGTACTATTTTGAAACGAATTTAGGACACAATGTATATTTTGGTGTAGTATTCCAGATCCGGACACATCCAAACCAGGAGTAAAATCACTTTTGAGTCCAAGGACAGCAGTCGATATGTGCAAAGACGCAGTCAGAGTTACTTCCGAGTCGCACTCAGAGTTTAGCATCGGACTCATCTGAATCAGAAGAGTATAATGACTTGAACTCACGCGTGTGAGAAGCACAATGAGTTGAAGCTCTTCACAAACGATTGTGTAGATATGAAGGTCGTTGTTATTGAGCACATTCCAGCATAAATAAAGTTTCCCATCGGACATATCCGACTTAGAGGAGAAGGATGACTCGTATTTATGAGTGTAAGGACCAGAATGAATTGTAGTTCTGCACCGATTATCGTGTTTATTTGGAGAGAGAGAGAGAGAGAGAGAGAGAGAGAGAGAGAGAGAGAGAGAGAGAGAGAGAGAGAGA